TATATATGCAATACCATAGTAATAAAGGCTCAATATAAAAAGGGAGCTCCAGTCACTGAACCTCTCTGGAAGCTAACCACTGCAATGGTTCAATAAGGCTAGAAAGCTACAGCAGAATCTATAAAAGCTCAGTAAGAGCCCTTCAATTCCTTACCTAAAATTTTCCCACAAAACCACCAAACTCTGCATTTCCTTACAGCTAAAACTAGAGAGAATTGTGACTTATAGACAATATCCATCAGTAGAGGGGTCAAAGAGCCAGCTTGTTACAATCACTATTCTAGCCCCTTAGGAGCAATGTCTGATCCTAATTCTTCCCCCTAATCTGCCTTTCCATTCTAATGCTTATGCTTTGATTGTACTTTAATCTGTTGGAAAATTTCCATGCTAATGCTTATGCAGATAGAACCAACGATAAATGTGCTACTGGGCCAAGAGGAAGCTCAGTGTTACAAATGCCCACCTGGCAAGCACAAGGTCCCAAGTTTGATCCTCGGTACTGTCAAAAAATAAAAGTGTTAGATTTCGTTTTAGCAAGATCCACTAGATATACCTTGAAAAGAGTTCATAACTGCTAAACTGCAAAACAACTTCTATCCATCCAATGCTGTTTGGGGAAGATTAGATTAGCTCTTTGGAGAAGCCCCTAATGGTGGTCTCCCCAGTACTACCCTTCTCAGCCTGAAGCAGCTAGATTGAAACTATGCCCATTCTCCCTTCACCACAGTTAGGGCTAACTCTTCAGGAGAGGGAACATTATAGACAGCTAAGTTAGATGGATATCATATACCATCAGAGAGGAGCTGGGCTCTCAAGGGAGTGAGCAGGAATCTACAGACATCAAGGTTATGGCTGGAAATACTTCCGAAGACCAGGCCTCAGGATGTAGGCGAAATGGCCCAGCCCACAGGCTTCCCTGGAGGAAAAGCGCTAATTTCACATTATGCTATAATTCGTACCATCTGGCCCAATAAAGTCCAAATGGACATCAGTCACCTAGGTGGGTGGCCAGAGCATCTAGACCCACTCCTTCCCCAAAAAAATATCTTTGCTTTTTCCATGTATACTTGCCAGGCAAGCCACTTTGCTAATGGACCAATATTAGTTAAACCGCTAGATTTATAATTTTACTGGCTGATTATAGTGTGACCCATGTTTTACCCACTTGTGATTTTGTTCCACGTCATGATTTTGGTCTATAAAATACTCTTGGAGAAAGGATGTCAGTGGCAATGCACCCCCCCCCCCGAAGGTATCTTTCAATAAGTCTTTCCTACTCTTAGTTTCCGTTGTTCCTTAGAATTCATTCATCAATTTCAGGGGGCACAAACTTGGTGTATCGGACATTTAATAAGTTGAGAGTTATATTTCTCCTGTATCATTCTGAAGCAAACATGAAACATTTCTAACACTTTTGCTTATTTGGCCATGAGGAAAATCTCAGAAAGTCCTAAAGTCAGCATCGTATACTATACTCTGAGATTACAGGGTAAAATTCAAAACCAGAGTGAGATGGCTCAGTGGACTAAGCTCCTGCTTAGGCAAGCACAGGAACTGGGATTCGATCCCTGGAACCATATACCACGGTGGCCCCACCACCGGGCATGCTAAACCAAGACAGAGTCTGGGTCTGGTGGCACAGGCCTGTAATCCCAGCACTGGGGGAGGCTGAAAGCAGGAGGATCAGCTGTGTAGTAAGACCCTGTACCAAATAAGAAAAGAAAGAAAGAAAAGAAAAGAAATAAAATTCCAATATATATATTTTTGGTGGAGGGGGGGAGTACTGAGAATCAACTCAGGACCCTTCCCAGGTAGGGACTGTGCTGCTGAGCTATATCCTCAGCCCTCCAGTGCATTTTTAAGTGAATGCATTGGAAAACGAAATCATAACAGAAGTCAGAGTTGGATGTGGGGGTATACACCTGTAATCCCAGTACTCCAGAGGCTGAGTCAGAGGATCAGCCTGAGTTCCAGGCCAACTGGGCTATATAGTGAGTGAGTCCAGGCCAGCCTGAACTACATAGTGAGACTCTATCTCAAGAAAAGAAAAGAAAAGAAAAGAAAACAAACAAACAAACAAAAAAAATCAGAAAAGTACCTTTAAACCACAGCCATTTTCACATGGGGGAGTGGACAACACAACTTACCACTGGGAAAAGCTAGCAAACCTGTAGCTGAAAAGTTCAACAAAACACATTTTACAGAAAGACCAGAAACCCAAAATGCAAATTACTGAAAACTAAGCCACTGACTGTCAATTGGCTAAACAACTAGTTTTTGTTCTTTTAATGTATTTAGTTCAGGATCTACAGGGTCTCACTACACAGATCAGACTCCTACTGATCGTCCTGTTTTCAGCCTCCCAAGCACTGGGATTACAGATGTGTGCCACCATGCCCAGTCTTGGTCTCCGCACACCCCAGGGGCAGAACTGGCAATGCATGCCAGGGATCAAATCCCTGTCCCTGTGCCTGCCTAAGCAGGCGCTTTAGTCCCCTGAGCTATCTGGAACAACCAGTTTGAATTAAGGATTTTTTTTCCCCCAAAAAAAATACGTTCCATCTCCACTTCTGCCTTTTTGTCTTCAGAGTGTGAAAGTTGTTACAATCAGACTGGAGTCACTTCTGTTGAACCCTACCAGGACGGGTGCAAGAGGTGTGGCAGCCCACCCTACAAGCACCAATTCAACCTTGGACTGACACCATGTTTGTTGCTGATCATTGTCACCAAGGGTCATTGTCCCCAAACAACCTGCTCATTTTATCCTGTAAAAACCCTTCTTTTGTCTTCCAGGATATACTCATAGGTGGTCCCCCCTATCCTCCATCACCCAATCCTCCATCAAGCCAAGCAAACTCTCTGTTTTGGAGAGTTGGTTTAGCTACCACTCTTTCTAGGTTGAGGAAAGCTATTACAGAAACCCTATTCAGGCCCTTTTTCCACAGCCCTTTTGTAATGCAAATAAAAGAGCTGGTGTTGGTACAGGTACCAAGTCAAAGGTGTACCTAAAACTTTGGGGGAAGGGCAGTGGCAGGACCTTTCTCCATATCTTGGAGAACAGGCTCTTCAGCACATCCAACGTTGGCAAACGGTTTTCAGTGACCCGCCTCTACAGATGGCGCACAGTGCCTTGTCGGGAAAGGGGTATTTGACTCAAAGAGGCGGCAGGACTCCATACAGTTAAAATAAAGGTGTGTCTTTTTTTTTTTTTTTTTTTTTTGGTTAGAGCTATTTCAAACTTTGACATTTTACAGTTTGAGAATCCTGAGGCCGATGGTGGGGTCCCTGGCTTCCCGCCTGGGACTTACCCTGAGGTGCCACTGGAGACGAGACGTTGAACGCGAAGTTTGCCTTTTGTCTTGTGATTATCTTCAAACTCTGTTCAGTAGGTTACACAAGCCCAGTCCAGGGTCAAAGATGTGGGCCATGAAGGCAGGGCCTCGCCCTGGGTCAACTGGGGAGAGATGAAAGTGGTCTCCGCGCACGCGCCTCCTCTGCAGCCGTCCCGGGGCGTCGGCGGGGCATCTGATGTCCTGGGAGGTTCCTGGCCGCAAAGCCAGGGGGGCCATCGGAGCGCAGCGGTGCTAGGGACCAGTTGGGCAGCTGGGAGAAACCCCCCTCCTTGGATATTCAAGACGAGGACCCCCTGACAGGGTCTGGGCTGGGATGCTAAGCTCAGAGCAGCATGTGCCCTTCTTGGGACCTCTGCTCCCGCTGCTCAAGCTGCTGCGTCCGGAAGCAGGTCACCCTCATGCCCTGCCTTCAAGTTGCTTATCGGGGCCCTCCAGGCAGGGAAACGAGACTCAGCGTTCTCAGTCTGGACCCCATGCCTCGTAGGGAGCATCACACACGAATTTGGGCGCGCAGGGGAAGACGGAAGACTGATGGGACCCACGGTAGGTTCATTCATCGCACCTTTATTTGAGGTCTACTACTTGCTCCAGGCGGACACCATCAATAGACTACGCCAGCAGGCGTCACACAAAACGTAACCACAGGCCAGAACCAATCAAGGCGCTCAAGGGCTTAAGCGTGCGCACGAGCATGCGCAGTTTCAGGATGGGGGGAGATCAGCGCACAGTGGATGGGGCCCCGAGGCTCCGCCCCAATCCGCCCTCGCGGTGCCTTCTGGGAAGTGTAGTCCACGCCTGCGCCGGCCAGGCCCTCGAGGCCGGGCACTCCGGGCGGAAGCGCGTCCATCCGCACCGCGATGCCAGATAAGGGGGGCGGGTCCGCGCGCGCCCACCCTCGCCCCTCCCTCGCGGCCTGCGCCTCCGCCCCCGCCTGCCCGCGAGCGGAGCTAGGCGTCCGCCACCGTGGGTCGCGGTGCATCTTCCACCCTGGGCCGCGCCGGAAGCTGGGGTGGTCAAGGGGCGGCCGCGAGGCTGGGGCCCGGGATGGCGCGCCAGGTAAGGCGAGCCGGGGCGCACGCGCGGGCCGACCGGGGCGGCGGGGCGGGGAAGACCGCGACCACCAACTTTGGGCGAGCCGGGCGTCCCTAATAGCGAGCCAAGAAGTCTGGATCCTCCTCCGACCTCCCCACTGCCCGTCCCCTGGATGCACGGACCTCCTGGTTCTCTCCATCAGGGGGAAGTTATTCTTGGGCATAAGCACTGCCTTTCCTCTGCTGGCCTCCTTCTGTTACAAGTTACCCTGAGAGTAACGGTGGTGGGTATGAAGGCCTCGGGGGAATGGCTAAGTCTGGTACTTTTAATTTTGATAAGATCCTGGGGAGTGGGGAGACATTGAAGACAGAGCAGATTCCAAGTTTTGTCCTGCTGAGGCATGTAGACCCGAGAGTTGCAGGGAGAGCACCATCTGCCGTCGCTGGGGCAGTTGGGGCTTGGCTGTGGGCTGTGAAGATGCGGAGGGGAGCTGCTGCATTGTCTTCTAGGGGTGCCTGCAGCCAGCTGTGCAGCTGTGGTGGCTCAGGAGCGTGGGCCAGACTCAGGCAGCCGAGCTGGGGTGGGGGCCGGCGGTGTTGCCAGGCAGGGCAGGCGCTGTGCCAGAACCTTGTCATCACACAGTGTCCTAGAAGAGGGGCAACCAGGAAAATGGACTGCTTCTGGAGGGGGCCAGTCTCCACTGGCTGACAGGCAGCCCAAGGACACCCTTGCCAGACAGGTGCCCTGGTCCCATCCAGGGCCTTCTGGAAGATGAAGGTTTGGACACCCACGTTCAGGGGAGGGTGCTCCCTCACACTGTGGCTTCTTTTTCTTTTTTTCCTCTCCTCTCAATTATAAGGGTTTTTTAATTGAAAGTAATCTCAATTACAGGAAGTTTTTTTTTACTGTATTTAGGACAGGGTCTACAGGGTCTCACTGCGTAGGTTGAACTCGTAGTGATTCTCCTGTTTTCAGCCTCCCAAATGCTGGGATTACAGGCGCATGCCATCACTCCTAGTCTCAATCGCAGTTTCAGTGTGCCCAGTGGGCTGGCGGGCACCACATCGAACCCTGGCCTCTGCACTCTGCCTAAGCAGGCCCTTTAGTCCGCTGAGCTATCTGGTCGGCCCCCCTGTAGCTTCTTAGGGAAGGTGACTAGAAGTGACCTCGGGGAGTACAAGGTGATAGCCAGATGGAGGACAGAGCGGCCCTCCATCTCCCTGCTCAGGGTGACTCCCAGAAGCCCAGGGGTGTATGAGCACACACAGCGTGAAAGGGGAGACACGGGCAGCATGGTGCACAGTGGGATCTAGGGCTCGAGCAGCCCAAAATCAGCCAGGAGGATGGCCTAGACGGGTAAGACTTGTGTTCTGGGAGAAGAGAGGTGGGAGGAGGCGGCCCGGCTGTAGGAGTCCAAGGTCAGCCCCTAACGCTTCTGTTAATTGGGATGAGGCTCAAGGTAGGTCCAAAAAGAGCAGGGGTGCAGGGGGAGAGCTGCAGGCGACTTCCCTCCTCCTGGAGACAAACGTTTGCTCTTCCCTTATTCACACACACACACACACACACACACACACACACACATTCTTGCTGCTCTTTCTCAGGACCCTGGGGAAACTCTGACAAGAGCACCAGCTCTAGCTATAGCAAGTTCCCATTTGCAGTTTATGAAAACTTGGTCACCAGAGATGGGAGAGGCCTGGAAAGCATTGCCCACAAATGTCTAAAAGAAACAGATCCATTTAGCCTGCAGAGAAAGAGGCCTTGGAGGTGGCAATGTGGAAGAGCCCAAGGTGCCAGGATGTGACCTGCGGGCAGAGAAAGGCAGAACGACCTGGGGACAGCAACACCAGTCATGGCAGTGTACACGCCCCATCATTTACTCCAGGCACTGCTCCTGGACAAAAGACAAAATTCTCTTTGTCTTCACAACATCCCTGGGAGGTAGCTTATCGTGGTCCTAATATCATGGGTGAGCTTGCAAGTACTTCATCTGAAGTCCCATAACCAGTTAGTTCAGCGCATCCATGGCTTACAGTTCTGGAGAGAACCAACCTACACTACCCAGACTCGCAGAAGACAGATCCGAAAGCTGTGATTTAAGGGTGGCTTCCAAATTTCACTTGCTGGAAACTTCCTTCCAAAGTCATATGCCAATGCTGTTTGAGGGGTGAAATCCTTGGGAAACAACTGGGTCATGAAAGTTTTATTCTCCTGAGTAGATCGCTCCATTGATAGATTAATTGATTAATCGGTTATGAAGAGAGTGGCTTCCTGTAAAAGGCGAGCTCTGGCTGGTCCGCCCGGGCTCCCCATGTCACATGCTGGGATGCAGAAGGCCCTCCACATCCGTGGCCTCTTCATGCTTTACAGACTTCTCAGCGTGTAGAACTGTAAGAAATGTATTTCTTTATAAATCACTCAGTCTCAGGCATTCTGTTGTAGGAACAGAAAATAAACTGAGACCCAAAATAAGCCGATTGTTCATGGTAAAAATGAAGGCTAACACTCAGACAGGAAATATGTGGCAGCTGATTAAGTCTTTGGCCCCCTGTCGGGTTAGTTTTGTACCACTACACCAGGATATTTGAGACTAGTTTATAAAGAACAAGGACTTACATCTCAGTTCTGGCCAGACAACATGGGGATGAGGTGGCCAAGAGATTATGGGGCCCTTTGTCAAGGTCCCCAAGACCATCCCAGAGTCAGAGACTCACAGGAGGGCTCAGACTGAGCAGATACCCCTAGACACACACAAAACAGCAAATGGCAGCGATCCATGGGCACAGTCTGGGGACACAAGGGGACTGGCTTCCCAGAGCCCTCATCAGTGCAGTCACAGGACACAGTTCTAGCATGAAGTTGTGACAACCTGTGTGACATGCTGTATACTAGGGAAGCTCACTAGAGACAGTATTGTCACTGGAGCTGGTCACAGAGGCACTCTCTGGCTAAGACATGTGCAAATCCTGTGCTCCCAGAAGGAAAGAGGAGGGTTAGCACAAACTACCCTTAGCACAGCCCAACCACTGGGAATGGTGGGGACCTTTCTGATGTTCCCAGATGCCTGCTCACAGCCCTGCCTGCTCACAGCCTTTTTTTTTTTTTTTATACCAGGAATCAGACTCAGGACCTTGTACTTACTAGGCAGGCAGTTATGCTGCCCAGTCCAATTTTTTTTTTTCTTTTTTTCTGCAGTACCAGGGATTGAACTTGGGACCCTGCGCTTGCCAGGCAGGCATTTATACCGCTCAGCTATATCCCCAGCCCACAGCCTTTTTAAGGGCAGCAGCACCAGGCCTGTCCCAGTAGTTGTGTGGCCCACCCCTGGTTCAGAAGGCCAGGAAAAATGTAAGTCACTAAGAAATCCTGGAGGATGTCTAAGATGTTCTAGAGAAGCGATTATAGTGGCTAGAACCACAGGCTCGTTAGCTCAGGGGCGAGGCTGTGGGCGGTAGAAGGGGCTGGGGTCTTAGAGTGAGCTGGGGAGGCAAGCGCCACAGCCTCTGGCCTCCTTTGGGCTTCCAGGCTGGCAGGCAGTCAGCAGAGAAGTTCCGAGCCAGATCCAGGATGGAACCAACTTACGACATGTTCAGAGAGCCAAGGGATAGGGGCATGACTGTGGCACCAGCTTGTGGCCTTCAGAAGTGGCAGGCAGTGTGGCAGTGAGTAGGTGACAAAGCCATCAGTTAATAGCAGTGACAGGGTTTTTTGTTTTTGTTTTTTAGATAGTTTCATTATGTAGCACAGGCTGGTCTTGAACTCATGTAGCTCCGGTTGCCGTCAAAACTTGTGTTGATCCTCCTACAGCCTCCTGAGTGCTGGGATTACAAGCATGTGCCATGAAGCCTGGCTCAGTAACAGTTTTCTTTTTTTCAGTAATTGGTTTGAAGGGGCCAGGGAGATAGCTCAGTAGAATAAGTGCTTGCCTGGCAAGCGCAAATGCCTGAGTTCAATCCCCTGTTCTGCAAATAAATAAATAAATAAATAAATAAATAGTAATAATTGGTTTGAGTGGTGAAACAAGGCAATTGATCATCTTTGCTCTATTGAAAGTATCATTTTAATAATTCTCAAAAATGGTTGATATTTATTTCAGAGTCAGAAGAGCCATTCCAATCATTTACATTCTCTTTGTCTCATTTACATGAGATCCATAGTTTCCATCATTTTAAATTCATGCCTCTCAGATGCTAGTCCTTTTCTAGGCTTTCATGGCTGTTCTCAAGTCCACAAATGACCTTTTTAAGCAAGACAGAAATGTTACTTTTGCCTAAAGGGCCCCAGGCTAGCAGAATAAGCGTAGAGGAGTTCCAAACAGAACGTAAAGCTCCCGGGGTGCTGGATTTTCTGCCTACTTCTGTGCAGGTGCTCAGAATCAGAATGACACAGCTTCCAGCCAGAGGAAGGTGAGGCTGCGTGAGATTTTTACTGCCTACCCCATGTCCCTCTGAGTGGTACTTAGAGGGACAGCATAAACATTTGAGGAGTTTGATTCTGACTTTTGTGTGTGTGTGTGTGTGTGTGTGTGTGTGTGTGTGGTACTGGGGATCAAACTGGGGACCTTGTGCTTGTCAGGCAGGTGCTTGTGCTGCTGAGCTGTTTCCCTAGACCCTAGCATATGAAAACTTTTAAGCACTCGACACCATACATGGAGAACCCCACACCGGACAGGTCACACTTAAAATATGCTGGAAATACTGTCTAAAAGCACTTCCAGGAAGGTGTAAGGGGGGTGCATATGAAGTAAGTGAATTTCATTTATAGGCTTGCGTGGCAGTGCATATGCAAGCACTCCAGAAGTGAAAATCCAGAACCCCTCTGCTCTGAGTCAGCCTTGGTATCCCTTGTAGTTAGTTTTATTTATAAAATGTTGTGAATGTCACGGTGCTAGGATCCTGAGTCCTTGCACATTCACAGTAAAATTGGCTTATGAATGCAAATTAACCCAACCTAATATGTCGAATTTAGGGCTGGATGGGCTTGACCTTCACCCACAGAGCATGAGACTGTCATACTAGTTTCCTAGGAGTGCCACGATTCAGGACCACAACCAGGGGAGTTAAAGGAGCAGAGTTTTCTTCTCTCTGGTTGTAGAAGCGGAAACCTGAAACGAAGGTGTCAGCAGAGCCACACTGCCGTGAAGGGTCCAGGGCAGCGTCCTTTGCCTCTTCAGCTTCCGGCAGCTGTGGGTGCTCCGTAGCTTACATCTGCATCCCTTTGGGCTCTGCCTGCATCTTCACATGGGCTGTTCTCTCCATGTGTCTGTCCCCATGTCCCTTTTTGTAAGGACAGTAGCCATCTGAACCAAAGTGACCCCCTCTTAACTTATGAGCCCATATGAGGTCATGTGCACAGAGAGGAGAATTAGGACTTCAGTACGTCTTGTTGGGGATCCATGGGCTCCTGCTGCCGCTGCTGCTGCTGCTGCTGCTGCTGCACGTGGTCCTGTCCCTGATGCTCCTGGTATTAGTCCCCAGTCTTGCGCCTTTCCTCCCGCTCTCAGCATCCACCGGCAGATGTGATTGGGTCCCTGAGTCTAGGGCCAGCTGAGCCAGGCCTGGAACCAGCCAACCCCCAGACTGTGCCTGCAGGTACCCATCAGCTTCAAGGACTTGGCTGTGCGGTTCTCCGAGGAGGAGTGGCGGCTCCTGGAGGAAGGGCAGCGGGAGTTCTACCGGGACGTGATGCGGGAGAACTACGAGACGCTGGTGTCCGTGGGTAAGGGCTCTAGCTTCCCAGCGTGCGGGGCGCAGTGGGCTCCAGCTCCCTGAATCTCGTGGGCCTCAGGCCCCCTGGGCCTTAATCTCCTCATCTGGGAGATGGACGGTCTGGGGGAGTGCTGAGGGCTTGGGGCTGGCCTGGGGCTCGCTTTCACTCCTGTGCCCCGGCTGCACTGGGGTGGCCTCTGGTTGCCATTCCACAGGGCACCCAGGGGCCCCTGCAGTTCTTTGAATTTGGGCAGCCACCCAGGCATGCACGGTAACACAGATGTGCAGGCCTCTGGCCACTGAATGGCCATGGAGAGAGGCTGCTCCTCTGCCCCCACTGAGCATCCCGTCTTGGCTTCCTAGGGACAGCCGAGCTGCTCCCGCTCTCTGCTTTCCTGTTACCCACGGAGCCTGGAGGAACGGCAGGGGCAGGGAGCCGCACTGAGGACGGGCAGGAGCTTCCCGTGGGGGGAGGCCCCCAGGGTGAGTCTTCCCAGCAGACCTTGGGCGCCCCTCCCGCTCATGGTCCTCAGCCCCTCCTCAGCCCCCATAGAAGCTTGCCTGCAGCCCCACGTTGGGGCCAGCCTGCAACGCCTCAGATGGAGATGCCCATGGGCCCGGGCTGGGCGAGGCCCAGAGGGTGGAGATGGCCTTCCCTGATGTTGCGCTTAAGCAAGGGGTCAGGGCTGGTAGCTCTTTTATCCTCCAGCAGATGAAATGTTTCTGTCTCCATGGCTGTGTCTTTGCTTAATATTTACTTTGGCGCATGGCAAGAGAGAGAAGTGTGTGCATTCGGTCTGCATGTGTGTGACCACTTCGCCAGCACCGTTAGCTACAGGGGCTGTCCCTTTCCTCCAGCATTCGTCTTCTGGTCCCAAGGATCGGATAGCTGAATTGCCCGGGGTTGATGCTGTGTCCTTCACTCAGCTCCAGTGATCCACAGACCTGTTTTTGTGCCTGTACCGTGCTGTTTTATCACTGTAGCTCTGTAGTATAATTTGAAATCCAGAATTGTGATGCCCCCTGCTTTCTTTTTGTTGCGCCCAAGATTGCTTTTCTCCCTTGGGTCTCTTCTGGTTCCATATGATTCTCAGGGGCGTGGTCTCTAGTGCTTTAAATGTTAAATGAATAAATCAGATACATAAACTGAAATATCCATAACTTTTTGTACACTCGGGGAGGCCATAGCCTTTTCCCACAGACACTAGCGTCTCACAGTTCTCCCACATCATGTCCCGGTAGAACTCCTGCTGCCCTTCAAGTTATAAATAGTTTTTTTAAAGATAGATGTAGGAAATTGGGAGATAATAAATCTCTTACAAACAAGGAGGGGATCCCATGGCAGAGGAGCTGGGAGGGGCAGGAGGGAAAGGAGAATAGAAAGAACTGAGACGTGGTACATACAAGATACATGTAAACATGTGTTGCAAACATGTGCCAGTACAAAAGTGGGAACAAAAAGAAAGGAGGCAAGAGAAGACAGTGGCCACGTAGAGGAAGCCTGTGACCCACGGCCCACCCACCTACTCCTGCCCGGGGCTCGGCCCCTGCGCCTCCCTGGACAGCAGTCTGACCTCAGCTGCTCCCCCGGTGGCCGCAAGGGTCACCCAAGGGGCTGAGTGTGCACCCTGCAGCCGCGGGCGCAGTGTTCACGGCAGCCCTCTGCAGGACGGCAGCTGCAGCACAGCCTGCACCTCACTGCCCTGGTGCAGCTGGTGAAGGAGATTCCAGAGTTCTTGTTTGGGGAAACCAAGGGTACCGATGATAGCCCTGAGAGCGGCCGAGCCAGCCTGGATGGGGACAGAGCGAGCCCACAAGGTAGGTCACACATGGGGACGGCCTCTCAAGCCTCTGCACACCCCACGAGGTTAAGGCCAAGTCCACGTCTGGCGCTGTGTGCTGCATGCCTGCCAGTTCCTAGCTCCCGCAGTGAGGCAGTGGTTCCTGGTGGCCAGGCTCTATGCCTGCATCCCACATCCCTCGAGTCCTGGCCAGGGGATTTGAGAGCTGCTCAGCCTTGCTCCTAGTGGATTCTTTGTGAATTCGGCCTCCTCACGGCGACCCCACCCTGTCACCTTGTACTCGTGTGGGAGGTGACCAGTGTGCTTGTCCCTGGTTGTGCAAATGAGTTAGAGAGTGACACTGAGTCTTGTTCCAGTGACAGCAGTGGCCCTGTGTCCCCTGCCTCTCTGGCTGGCTGTCTCCTACCTGTTCTGACTTAGCTCTAGCCGCACCTGCCCCCAGGATCCCTGCACACTCCAGCCCCACTTGACTGATGGAGGATGAAGAAGAAATTGGGGCAGAGATGGAGGGGGCACTGGGGCACTGGGAGGTGGCTTTAGAGCTGCTGCTTTGTGTCCCTCAGGACACAAATGTGGCTGTAAATCTGGGTTTCACAGCTCAGGGTTGGCAGTACCAAGGTCACTGACATCCAGGTTACTGTTAGCCGCACACAAGAAAGGGCTAGGGGGGCTGGTGAGATGGCTCAGTGGTCTAAAGCACCTACTTAGAACAAGCTAAGCTAAGCAAAGCACAGGGACCGCGGTTCAATCCCCCAGCACCACATGCCAGCCAGCCCCGCCCCCTGGTGGGCTGAACTGGCCACACACAGACACAAAATAAATAAATATTTTTTTTAAAAAAGCTATGTATATTAAAAAAAAGAAGAAGAAAGGGCTGGGATTCTGACGTTAGTCCTCTTACCACTCGTTCCTCTTACCAGCAGCCGTGCCTGGGGGCACCTGCCCTCTCCAAGGCCTGCTCAGCTGCCTTCCAGACAGCCCTGTGAGCCGGCCCAGCCTGGCCACCACGCCCACCAGCAGCTCATCCTGCAGCGGCCCGCCCAGAGACGGAGGCCAGGGAAGCCCCCTCCATGTCAGTGAGTCTCACCTTGCAAGGAAAGGGCCAGGCACCAGCGTGCAGCTGTGGAGTCTGGGTGCCCGCTTAATTTTCTGTAGGATTGCACTTCCTCTGGTGCTAAATGGGACCAAGGTCCCCAGGGTGTGAACCCACATGCTGAGCCTCCAGTCTGCAGGCCAAAGAGGGGGCATGACCAGGTGTCACGGAGTGTCAGCCCCAGTCTGATTACTAAGGCCCATGTGTACAGGCCAGGGGGTCAGGTCAGCAGGTGGCTCCCTGTGTGCAGCTGGGCTGATTCTCAACTTTCATCAAAGCAGCGCAATAAGCAGGGAAAACAAAGGTCGCCCCTAGAATTTATCTGGGGTCTCACTTCATCGCTCAACTGCCTGGCAAATTTGCATTTGTCTGTGTATCTGAGGGCTTTTGGTTATTGATGGGGCTTTTTGTTGTTGTTTTGCTGTTTTCTCTTTGGTGCTGGGGATTGAACCCAGAGCCTCTCATGTGCTAGGCTGTTGGTCAACCACCAAGTTATCGCCTTCCATTTAGATTATTTAAATAGAAAAAAATATTTTTTTCTTGAACTTGGACAGTCTTGCAGTTGATTGTAAAAAACCAAAAACAATAGAGAAAGAGGGAGTTTTGGGCATCTCATTTGTTCTTTTCCAAATGTTAAAACAAACTGAAAAGTCAGAGCTAAGAAAATCAGGGCGAGGACCTGGGGAGACATGGTCAGAAGCAGCCATGCCCATCCGCAAATAGCGTTTCTAGTATGAAGAGGTGGGAGCCGTATGGAACAACATTGCACTCCGAAGAGCATCCTCCACTTAGCCTGTGGCTTTAGGTGTCATCGGGGTTCCATGTGCCCTGCTTGAGAAATAGGCCTGTGGCCCATGCGTTGAACCTGCAGGCACCACGAGGGTCCAGTGTTACTCAGGGTGAACACCAGGCTTAGTATTTGCAGTTAAAGTGGAATGAGGTATGGAAGATATATTGCCTATTGTCCTCAGACTCTTCAGTGAAATTGAAAAGGAAGATTTTTGCTTATAGTGTTTGGACAGAGTATCAGGTCTACCTCTTGTACTATGAATAACCACTAAGACGACAACCATATGCATTGTATTAATTATTGAAACTCTCCTACTAATCCGTTTTGAAACATTCTCATTGCTATTTTTGCTCAATAAAATTATTTAAAAACATAAAAAAAAACAAAAAAGTGGAATGAGGGTGGGGAAAGCCTATCTGAAACAAGTCCTCCGAAGTGAGCCCCACGAGTCCAGGCTCCCAGGAGTTGGCTGCACCCAAGGCATTGGGAACTCGGGAGATCTGTCCTGATGGGGACCAGGTGTGGGATGGTCCCAGAGTGGAGCCTGAGCACTCCTTGTGTTTTCCAACAGAAGCTGCTGACAGGCCACGGCCCACAGACAAGGAAGGCCCAGAAGGCCCAAGTGCAGAGCTGAGCACTCCCATCAGTAGCCCCAGCCAGAGGAAGAGCCCCCGAAGACAGGAGAGAGTGGCCCTGGGGACAGGTGAGAAGCAGGTCTTGTAGGGGTGGGGTGGCCCTGAGCTGAGTGGGGCTGCGATCGGGAGGGTGAGGTGTTCAGACCATGTGAGGAGGTTGTGCCACTCTCCTGTCCCAGCCTTGTGACACAGGCAGCCCTGTCTGGTGGCTGGGTGGGCTGGTGAAAGCCTCACGCTGCCCTTCCTGGGCCACTCGCACCTTAGTGCCCCTGTGTGCACATGCAGGAGTCTCTCCTGGGACCAGCCCCTTGCAAGGCCTCATCAACTGCCTGAAAGAAATCCTTGTGCCCAGGCCCCAGCACCCTGATGCAGCCCCAGGCCGAGTACCCCCTGTCCCAGGCCTGGGTACATCGAGGCAAAGCAGAGTGGACGTGGGGCCAGGTAGCCTACCTTGGCCAGGTGAGTCCCCGGAAAGCTTGTGTTTCTACACTGTAGCTGTTTCTCAGCTGCACACTGCCTGCCTTGATTTACTATGCAGGCCCCTCCTGTAGCCCAGGTGTCCTGTGTCTGTAGCCAGGTAGTTCTTCAAGGACAGGGTTTGGCTAAAGGCAAAGGAAGCTCAGTGGCAGAGTGTGCCCGGGTTTCCTCAGTGCTCTTTCCTATTGCTAATACCATGGCACTCCCCTGTCACTTCCTGTGGACCTCGGTGAGGAACTGAGCGTGGACCTCGAGGCCTGGAGCATGCAGAAGAGCGTGGGTGGCGTGCTCACAGGCCAGGAAGCCGTGGCCCTTGCTTCAGCGTCTGTCCCATGACGTGTGTGTGTCTGCGTGTCTCAGAGTCTGCCCTCCTGGAAGGGCCCCATGGCTCAGGACCAGGGCACTGTCTCAGTGACCTCAGGCTGCCCACACTTAGCCTTTGGTGCCCTCTCCTGCCTACCCCTCTTACCCACCCAGTTCTGTGAGGCACGTGACCACCAGGCTTCTGCACTCCACACACTCGACCTGGAGCAAGGCAGGCAGAGGTCCACTCTCAGTTCCACACACTGAGGTGATGGCGGCTTGTGCAAGACTTAGGAAGCACAGGCAGACATGAGTTCCAGATTTCCAGCCCTGCAGCTTCTTCCTGAAACCAGAATGGTTCCTTGTCTGTCACCACATAGGAGGGCTGAGGATGCTGGGCTCAGGTGGAAACACATGCCTTTTTCTCTCAGTGAAGACCGAGGCCACTTTGGGGGACTGTCCCCTCCAGGGGCTGCTGAACTGTCTGAAGGAGATTCCAGAGACCCAGGACAAGCCTTCCAGCCCCTCCCGAGCAGGGTCTGCATGTGTGCAGGAAGATCCAGGGCCCTGGAAGAGGAATCCTGAAGGTAAAGACCGAGCCAGGCGAGCCCCCACTGGGATACATGGCCTGGGCTGTGGGCGACCATCTGCAGCGACACACACGGGCTCTCATCAGCACGCCAGTCACAGGAGCCACGTGGGGGGTCGTCACTCTACCTAGAGCGAGGCAGGCAGGAGGTGCTTGGCCAGTGCTTGAGAACTGGCCACACTGTCTCTTGCCATGGTGAAAGTTCCAGAAGGAAGAAAAGGGCTGTGGGGAGGGGGAGGGGGAGGGGCCAAGGAACGCAGGTGGGTTGTGTTTCGAGGAGTCGTATTTCAGTTGTGACTCAGGGTTCCCATCAGTGTGTGGGGGATGGGCCCCATTTCCAGGCCCACCTATTTCTCTGTGCACATGAGCTGGACAGGGTGGGGAGAGCCAGGCATGGTGGCTGAGGGGAAGGAGTCGCCTCGGGCTGACGCGGGGCAGTTTGCTGCACACCGCTTAGCCTAGTGCTCCCGAGCACCAGGCCCCTGGGAGGAAGGACTGTATTGGGTCTGCACTGGTCAGGAAGCGACTGTAGAGGACCCTGGACGCCTCTGCTGGCCCTCTGCAGCCTCACAGGACTGGGCTGAGTCCCAGCCTGCTGCCTGGACCTCCCAGCTGCCTGCCTTCCCACAGGGCCCAGACGCCTCCAGACCCTGCCGCACCCCGCCAGTCCTGGAGCTGGTGGCGCACTGAGCACGGTGAAGGTGGAGGAGAGCTGGGCCCAGAGCAGCCCAGTGCCCACGTCCTGCCAGCTTGGCAGGCAGGGCCACAGCCCCTCTGTCACCAGAGACACCAGAGCAGTTCACATGCCCTTCTGGGGCCCTGAGGCTCAAGGTGAGGCCTGGGCTGTCCACCCTATCTCCCTGTGAGACCCAGAATGTAGTTCTCAGGTCCCCGACAGGGACCTTTCCTGCCTGGCATGTCCCCAGAGCCAAGCGCAGGACTTGTCACCCTTGCAGAAGGCAGGGCCAGGGAAGCTGTGAGAGAAGATGCCAGGGTACTCTCCCCTCTCGCAGCTTGCAGGGCATCAAGCTCACCCCTGGCAGCCCTGGAGGCTTGTCTGAAGGGCATTCCCACAAGTGCGTTGTCACCTCCCCAGCCACCAGCCACCTCTTGGTCCCGGACCCCCCAGCCAGGAGACGCTGGGTCTCAGAGGCCTGAGCTGCAGCCCCAAGGATCACATAGTGAAGGTACATGTGGCCACGGGCCTGGGGCGGGCTCTGTCCCTGTGCATGTAGTAGCAGGCAATGCCAAGGGCATGATCCTGCCCCCTCTAGGCCTCCTGGGACCCGCCTGCCTGCCTCTTCCCTGAGCCTCTCTTCTCTGCTACCCTCTGCGAGCTCTTCTCCGTGGTCCCCAGATGAACTGTGGGGTCTTCCCCAGCCCATGGGAAAGCATGTGGGCAGATGCTTTGGGGCAGGGTCTCCTGGTGCCAGCCCTCCGTGGACCTCTTTTCCAGCAGGCTGTGCAGTCACCATGCTGTTCTCTGCAGATGCCAGCAGGGGGCCTCTTGCACCTGTGGGCCCCACCCAACGCTCAGCTCCTGGAGGGACCCCCACCAGCTTCTCCTCAGCCAGCAGCACGGATGGGGACCTGGACTTTAGAAGTCCCTGGGGGAGCAGGGGCCAGCACCCTGGCACAGGTGAGCCCCTCTGGGAGCCCACAGGAGGATCGTGCCCACCATCATCTCAGGCCCCTGTGCCCGTTGCCAGAGGCAGAGCTGGGAATGTTGAAAAGCAGGCGCCAGCCTTGCCTTGGGTGGGGCTGAGTGGGGCAGTGACTTGGCTCAGTAGGGGCAGGACAGTGTCTGGGGTCCCTTGTCCCAGCCAGAGACTTGCCTGACACCTGACTCACCTCCACCCTAGGGAAAATGTCGTGAGCCCCTGTGATATACCTTCAGGAGGGTGCTTGGTGACTGTGCCTCCCTGGAGCCCCCACCGAGTCATCCTGGACTGGAGACTTCAGGGTGCTTTCTCTCCAGTGCTCCCTTTTGACCTTTTCCTATCTGAATAACCCCAGTGCTCTTGGCGCATCTTGTCCCACAGATGGACACACTTTGTCTGTGTTCTGATCACATCTGTTATTGGGTGAAGGGCCTGGAGCAAGGCCCAGGGCTGGGCCAATGGGGCCCGAGAGCCAGCCTAGGTCCTACTCTCTGCCTGAGTCGTACCAGGGAGAGCCCCTTGGACGAGAGCTTCTCCCCTAAAACACAGAAGACGTCTTAATGTTTAGTTTTTGATAGGTAGTAGCACATGATTTTGTCCAAAAGCTATGAAAGGTCCTTGGGAAAAATGGATTTTCCCTCCATCCCTGGCCCCCCAGGCCCCCTTTTGTGTTCCATGCCAGCCCTGTTGTGAGTTCATCCACTGTTCAGACATCTGTCCTCTCACACCGACGGTGGCAGCTATGCCCTCCCCATGCCTCTTGTCTTCGACATCTTCCTATGTGGTAATGTTCTTGGGCACCCAGCACTGTTTCTTTGTGACAGGATGTAGTGATGTGAGGCATGTTTCTCTTCCGGTCCCCTGTGCCAGTAGGCTTGCAGGAGACCCGAGCCCGGCAGCTGCCCTGGGCTCATGCCCAGCCCCTCCCATCTTGGGACCTTCTCTCCCTCCTATCTCCCACTCAGGTTGTCAGCTCCTGTTGCCTCCATGGCTGTCACTAGGAATATGATTTTTGTAGTATGTTTGCTTTTTTCCTAGCTGACAGCGCTTGAGAGCTGCCATGGCCTGTCACACCTGGCAGCAGGGAAGCTCAGAGAGGCAGAGAAAACCTCTCCCACATTAGGGCCACCAGGTGGTGTCATCACTCGCCATGGTGCCTTCCGCACTCCAGGTTTCCTGCAGGGCAACAAAGCAGGCCTGCGCTCATGGTGGAAGAGGCAACCTCTGGGGTATGAGTCAAACTGCAGCCAAGTCTGAGAATGTGTGGCTTTCACAGGGTACCCACCAGGGAGCTCCCCACTCCAGGGACTGGAGAACTGCCTCAGGGAGATCCCTGTTCCCAGGCCACAGCCTGCCCAGCCCTGCGCCTCTGCTGCAGCGGACAGAGGCCTGAGGAGAGTGGAGTCCAGGAGCTGGATGGCAGACAAGGAAGGTAACTCAGTGGCAGCTGCGGCCACTGGGAGTGCAAGGGGACCTGGGAGCAAGTCTGGCCGCCACCATGCTGTCACCAAGGCACTGTTGCCCCCAGCAGCCTGCAGGGGAGAACCCCCTGAGCTGAGGAGATGTTCTAGAGGCACCAGGGCAGAATCTGCCCCTGCAACCCAGTGCCCAAGAACCCCGCTGTGGAGAAACTCCCTGTTCTTTCAGGACAGCACAAGGCCCGCAGGGCTGACAGGCCTCTTGACTTTCCCTTGAAACAGGACTGAAGGGTGAGGCCAGTGAGCCAGCCCGCCATGCCCAGGGAGGAGAAGCACCCCCCCAGAGCCCCTGCCTGGCCAGCCCACAGGCCTTGACTTCCAGTTGTGTTCCTGCCTGCCACCAACAAAGGCTCAAAGACCAGGGGCCCACCAGGCCAGGGCTGTGGAGGTGGCCACAAGATGGTAAGCTACCCTCAGCGTCTCCTGGCCTGTGTTCCTTCCAGTTAAATTTGCTGAGAAGAAAGTAGATTTCCCATCCTTCTCTGTTCCTGTCCTTCCCTGACCCGCATCCCATCCTTGGAATATGGATGTCAGTGCCAGGCAGGAGCTTCACTGTTCCAGGAAAGAAGTAACGCAGGTGCTGGGGGCGGGCCCTCTGTCAGCCCTTGGGTTTCTCAGGGTGATGCTGCCACAGGAGGGGCCCCGGTAGCTCTGAAGCAGCTGCCCAGGTCTGCGTGGGCTGAGAGGCTGACAGCTCATCAGTGTGGCCGACCTGCGCTCGCCAGGCTGACAGCCCCTGTGTGACAGTGAGGGGACAATGGCCTGCAATATGGGGAGCCTGCCTGGCTTATACACTTCTGGAAGTTTCCAGAGGAGGCAAGAGTTGGCTCTGCTGGCAAGCACAAAGACCTGAGTTCGATCCCTGGTTCTGCAAAAAAAAAAAAAAAAAAAAAAGAGTTGGCTCTGGCTTCCCTTCCCTGCACCTCTCACAGCCAGTGAGTGAGCTGTTCAGGCCCCATCAGAGCCTGTGGGTGCTGCGGGCCAAACTGAAAAGTCCTCGCGTCTGCTGTTTGTCTAGGGGTGGTTGCCAGGCCCTCCCCGCTGCACTGCCTGGAGAGCTCTCTGCGGGGAATTCTGCCTGCCAGGCCCTTGCGCTTCACCTGCCTGGCTGACCCCAGCCCTGGGCCAGGCCCCAGTTCCAGCTCCAGCCTCTACAGCTCCGATGGAGAAGACCTGAGGCCAGAGCCTGAGCTCTGGAAGCCACTCCTCCAGGGTGAGCTGGCGGGGTGGGCAGTGAGCTGCTCCCTGGGGAGCTGTTCAGCACCCTGACAACAGCTTGCTTATGACACAGAGAGAGGCCACCTTCCCAGCTGCAAGCGTCCCATCCCTCAGTCCCCTGGCCCCAGTGGGTCCCCCACAGGCAACAGCAGCAGCAGCAGCAGCAGCCCTGCAGACAACCCTGTGAGAACAGAGTCCCACGATCGCAGCAACCTCTGGGCAGGTGAGTTGGGGTTCCCCAGATGGGCAGCTGTGGGGCTCCCAGCGGCCAGGGCTCCAGGCTCTTCTGTGTGCCCCGTCCAGCCCCCTGCCTGGCCCTGGTCAGCGTTCGCTCTGTTTTTGATGATTTAGTTCTCCAAAAGAAGAGCTGAGCAAAGAAGGTGGGCTGTTGGGTATCGGGCCTGGCCTGCGCCTGTTAGCATCCGTGCAGAGGAGACTGGTAGTTGTGTAAAGAAATGTGCGCACCGTGTGCTTAATCTTTGTACATATAAAATGCGCATGTGAATGTGTCCTTAATAGCTAATATTATCGTAATATTTTAAAAACTTGACAGCAAGAGAAATATCAGAAAAGAGATTTTTTTTCACGGGGAGAACATATTTGAGGTTGTCCCATCAAGAAGAGTAGACAGGGGCTGGAGAGATGGCTCAGTGGTCTAAAGCACCTACTTGGAACAAGCTAAGCTAAGCAAAGCACAGGGACCGTGGTTCGATCCCCCAGCACCACATGCCAGCCAGCCGCGCCCCCTGGTGGGCTGAGCTGGCCACACACACACACACACACACACACACACACACACTAA